GAAAAAATTCTCTCTCTGTCCTCAACAAATATGAAACAGTACCATAATTCACATAGTGACGAAAGTTTACACTGTCAACATTGTCATGCTCATGTGCGTTTTTTTGCCTTATGTATTCCAATTCTACCAGGGGTGATTTCGTTACACATTTTTTTAGAAAATGAGTATCTTACAAGTTAATGACGGACCAGACCTACATGTACCCTTTTGGAGATCACACATTTATCGCAATGCTCTCTATACTAGTGTGAAAAAAGTCTGCCCACCGTCAATGCTACTCAATTACTAGAACATGTGAGATACGCCTTGTTTTAGTTGCTCTCTCTTGCTTGACATGTACTTCCATGTTGGTGGGAGAGTTATATTACGTCACAATTGACGTCACTACGGAACAGTTGCACTCCAGTCAATGGGAGGTTTTCCTGTGGACTTAGAGTGTATTTTGACGCAAAAAGGATGCTTAAAAATAGTTCTTTTTTCCCCGTGAAAGAGGCATTGACATTGGCTGTTCTATCACGGTATACCAAAACAAGGCAGTAGTCTTCAACGTAAAAACCATCTGAAATGGGAACTGAAACGCTCATGGGACTTTTGCCATCGAAAGTATGACTATTTTCTATCCGGAAATTCTGTTTTTATGCTTTCTCATTTTCTCACTGGGATGCTATGCTGCTGCTGCACTAGTAGAATGCTATCCGGATCTGTTCACGTATTAAGTCACGGGGGAAATAGGATGGATAGAGAACTGAAGTAAAGAATGCATCATACCCAGTAGACACATATTTGATCAAGTATTTAAGGCGAAGTGTGTAGAATCCCGTTCATCATCTCAGACATTCACGTAAAACGCTTGTGCCAGAGGGTGCAAAATGTAACCAAACTACAAAACTTCTTTCCGGAAATATTCTGAAGTGTATTACCTAAAATAAAAAAATAATAATAAAGTTCCTTCTGTATATCTCTCAAATTGAATTCCTCTTTGTTTCGTGATTCCTTTGAGCCGTCGACACGGCATTTTACAGTTGTGTGGCCGTCTATAATGTAATTGATCAACTATTTAAAACAAAACCTTCTTGAAATCGATACATAGTGCCTGTATTAGGACCCATTCCAAAAGAGAACATGATATATAGGATTTGTAGACAAGACCGTCGAATAAATCGCCGTGTAAATGTCACTTGACCATTGCCGTAATTTCATTCCCTTGCTGAATACGTATGCTCAGAGATTAAGTTAGCTTCTAAAACCTTTTTTGTATCGTGTTATTGATCACATAAAAAATGATAAATTGTCTCCGGACACCAAACGTACCATGCGTCCGTGTATCCAAGAATAAAAGTGCTCTAGACCACAAGAAAAGTACTCTAGTCTATGTTTACAAGACGTGTGCATGTCCTCTAAAATATATTTGCAAGACACATACATGTCCTTAAGTTTATGTTTACAAGACGCTTTCCAGTACTCTTGACTGCGTTTACAAGTGGTGTACATGGCATGTAGACTATATTTATAAGGCTTGTACCATGACAAGACAGTTAACATAGCTCTCAAAGGCCACAAAAGCCGATGATGGATGAAGAAACACAATAAACGTACATGTACTTAACACGCGTGGTTTCGTCCAAGATCATTTGTTCACATTACAAAACACTGAGATGAAAAATCGATCAGCAGAATGATCATCACAATATAACGATGTACAGGGAATACGATGCACAGTTTGACCTTATGATTACCTAATTTGTTTATTATTATTATAATTATTATTATTATTATTATTATTTTGTCCAGCTGAAAACTTTACACTGAAGGTTAAACGAGACCGTAGCAATAGTCCGAAGGTTCAATAGTCCGAAGGTTCATTGGTCAGAAGCTGCATTGGTCCGAAAAATGGTAACATTTTCTTCAGTTTTTTAATCAAGGGTTGATTGGTCTGAAGGTTCTATAGTGAACATTCGGACCAAAGAACCGTCGTACCATTGAACCTATGGACTATTTCTACGCCCCCTTGGACCAATGCAATAAACCCTAGATAAAAAAACTGATTAAAATGTTACCATTTTTCGGCCCAATAAATCTTCGGACTATCGATAGGCCTCCAGTTAAAGACTACGTAACATTTCGTTATATACATGTAGATGAGGCACAAAACTGTCCGATCACACACATATTTTCAAAATGGCTAACCAAAGCTGCCATCCGCATGCATCCGACCAGAAATAAAAGAAAAAAGAACGAAGGAAAACGGAAGAAAGTTGAATAGATCATAATTGCACCACGGGTTACAAGATACCAGTACCTCAACTGTTGATTAATATCTTCGATCTTTTTCCACTTATACCAATATTGGCTTTTTTACCGCTCTCTAAATAAAGACATTATAGGTGTACTTAATGGTTGATTTAATATAAGGTAGCTCACTTTCTCTTATTCTAGAGGGGATTTCTCTATCAGTCTTGTAATTTAATAAATCTTTATATCCGAAGTCAAATCTCTCGCCGGTCGAGTATCTATCGCAATACCATTGTGCGCCTGTGAAGAATTTCATCAGTTATGGACCAATGTTATAAGAATGAAGTAACTTTTCTTCAGTCAACAGGTAAAAACTTTTTCAATATAAAGCTGTTGACTGAAGAAAAAAACTACTTCATTCTTAAAAAATGTACGCGCCTGAACAACCCTTGGATAAAATAACGATTTTTTTTGTCCATGAACCACTTCAGTCTGCAGTGGGTATTGTGATGACAGGTGTCAGGTCAGCCTTACACCTTTTCTTTGATAGAAGTTGTCACGTACACATGACTTTAACTGACAGCTTTCTGAACAAACGCCAATCACGATTATTGCGCAGTTGATAACTATATATGCCTGGCATGTAAAACTGCCAACTTTTACGTCCCCTAATTGACAGGTGTCAATCAAAACCATTCAGGTCCGATACAGGCTGTAAAAATTAATTGGCAGTTTTATAAACAAACGGCAATCACAAACCCACAGCGTATACAGACAGTGTACTTACAGCAGATTTAAGTACTATAGGCGCTTGTGGCGCTCGGGCATTTTATTAATCAACCATTACAAGATCCCTGCAATTATTGAGCACTGTTTTTAAAAATCCCAAGTGCACCACGTGCAAGCAAATGTGGGCTCAAGAATTCGTCTTTAGACTGGGTTCCCATACCAAGATCGATCTAACAGGATCGATCCATCTCCAAGGGGCTTCTCGCTAAATTGCTTTCAGCTTAAACGGCTTAGATGCTGGACATGCTACTGAAGCTGCTAAACGATAATTAATTACCCCTAGCAGCTTCAGTAGGCGTGACAGACATCTAAGCCCCTTAAGTTGATTGCAATTTAGCGAGAATCCCCTCGGAGATGGATCGATCCACAGTAAGTAGGCCTACGAAGGGTCTGGGAATGGTTTCCATAGACATATTGTGACCGGGAGCATTAGTAGTAGAGATAACCTACCCGCACGAAAATGCAGTAGTATCGAAGTAGCAAAGAAGCATTAACGCAGTGGAGCATATTTGCAGTAGAAATGCAGTATAGCCTACTGCAATTCTACTTCAAAAATTACATAGGGTTGTACAGAGCAGGAGCATTAATGCAGTAGATTAGCAGCATGATAGAAGCATAGAAGCATGTTTCAAATATGCTAATTAGCTCCCCAATCGAAGCAGATTTGAAGCATGCTTGCAGTATGAATGCAGTAGTCTACTGCGCTGGAGTATCTACTTCGTTTTCGTTTTACCTAACCACACTGGCCTAGCAAATCAGTTTCCTAGTTACCTCTGAAAAATAATAAATGACATAAAATCAAATCTGAGAGTAAAATAAGCATAATCGTTTCCATTTCCGAAAACCACTAATGGGTAAAAAAATACAACTTACAGTGATATTTGGGGCATTCTTGACATAAAGTTGTAAGGCACAATTTGATAACTAGACGTTGTTTATTAGCTCTATGTATATTTGCCACAATTA